ACTTCTAGGAATTTACCCTAGGAATGCAGCAACCCAGTTTGAAAAACACAGGTGCACCCCTATGTTTATCGCAGCACTATTTACAGTAGCCAAGAAATGGAAGCAACCTGAGTGTCCATCTGTAGATGAATGGATAAGGAAGATGTGGTACATATACACAATGGAATATTATTCAGCCATAAGAAGAAAACAAATCCTACCATTTGCAACAACATGGATGGAGCTAGAGGGTATTATGGTCAGTGAAATAAGCCAGGCAGAGAAAGACAAGTACCAAATGATTTCACTCACATGTGGAATATAAGAACAAAGGAAAAACTGAAGGAACAAAACAGCATTAGAATCACAGAACCCAAGAATGGACTAACAGTTACCAAAGGGAAAGGGGCTGGCATGGATGGGTGGGAAGGGAGGAAGAAGAGGGGGGAAGAAGAAAGGGTGCCTTACGTATGTGTGTGGGGCACGGGGAGGGCTGTGCAACACAGAGAAAACAGGTAGTAATTTTACAGCATCTCACTACGCTGATAGACAGTGACTAATGGGGTATGTCGAGGGGACTTGGTGAAGGGGGGAGTCTACTATATGGTAAAGTCCTAAGCCCCAGTTCCTATGAATGTGACATCATTTGGAAATATGGTCTTTGCAGACATTACTTATTATGAGTTTACACTGGATCAGCAGGCCCAAAATGCAATGGTCCTTAGAAGAAGGTCATGTGAAGACACAAACAAGCAGACAGAAGAATGCCATATGAAGCTGGAGACAGAGCTTGGAGTGGAATGCCAAGGACTGCTGGCACCGTCATGGACAGGAGCAGGGACCAGACTTCCCTTAGAACCTCCAGAAGAAGCCAATTCTGACTGTACCTTATTTCAGACTCCAGCCTCAAGAACTGTTAGAGAATACATTTCTGCTGTTTTTAGCCACACAGCTGGTGGTTACTTCTTTGGCAGCCACAGTAAAGTAACACAGCCCTCATCATTTTGATAAAGATTTTTACCACATAATAAAATGACTGAACACAGAACAATGGTTAGACTGCAGTTTTAGGGAACAACAGGTATTCTCTTTGTTTGCAGTAAAGGAATGGGAAATGAAAAAAAGGACCGAGTTCAGTACTAACTTCTGACTAAGTAACCTTGCAATGGCTGAAAGGTAACATTTTCTCTTTTTCTAGTTCACTAAAAATCTGCCTGTTGTTAAGACTTGCCAGCAAGTGTCAGTTGCTGGGAGTATCTCACTTTTCCCCACTTAAAAAAAAATTGGACAGCATGAGGCAACTGCCAAAACACAGGAGTTTTTTCCAGTCATAGCAGAACATGTGGACATTATCTGGGGGTACCGAGGCTGCCTGTTTCATCACAGTGTGACACTGTCATACTCCAACAGGCTAGGCATTCTTGGCTACCCCACGGTCACTGCACAGACAGAGTGACTAGAAGTGACAGGAAGGACTACAGTTGTTACTAGTGAGAAAAATCATGGAACACGGCCAACAGTGTTGACCTTATCTAGCTGTAAAGGTGGATGAAGATTCCTTCCTCATGAAAAAACAAACACAATATTAAAAAATTTATTTTATCTTTTAGATTAAAGTCACATTCATATATGTTTGCGATTCAAGGAAATGTTTGAAAATCTGTCACTGATAAGCTCTGTAGTACTTCAAAAATTTTACTTAAAAAGGAATATTCAGCTGGCCATACTCTGAAGCTGGCAAAATGTAGCCTGTGGGTTGAATTCAGCGTGCTGCTGGTTTCTATGTATAAAGTTTCATTGGAACACAGTCATCTTATCTTACATATTGTCCGTGGCTGCTTTCAAACTACAGAGCTAAGTGGTTGGTTGTGACACAGACCATGACTTGCAAAGCTTAAAGTAATTGCTGTCTGGTCCTTTACAGCAAAAGGCTTCTGCCTCCTGATCTTGAGTGTCTCAAACTCCTAACTATGGTTAAAAATTACTATCATGAAAACATAAAACCCTGGAATCATATTTAAGAAAACAGTTCTAAAGTAGCAATTGTTTGGATCTGAGGACCTTGGGTGGAGATGACCCCTTAGAAACCATTACTATGTCCTGTGGTTTCCGCTGTCATCCAGGGCCACCTGTGGCACTGCTTAGGCACTCTGCAGCCAGCTAGCAAAGCATGTTTCACTAGCTGATGTAAGAATGAGTCTCAGCAGCTTTTATACTTACAGATGTTCTTCAAGCTTCTTTTTTAGAAGAACTGACTGCAAATGGAAAAAAAAATAGTTTAACACTTTAACTAATAAACTGATTATTTTTAAAAAATCAAGAGTATAATAGTAATCACCTCTGAGCTCTCTCTCTCTCTCTCTCTCTCTGGTCAAAGAGTTCAAAACAAACACTCACATTTATTTCTCTTTGATTAGGGAGAAAGCAGCCTATATGTGATTGCCAATCCACAAAACACACCTAGGAATGGCGTATCTGAATTCTCTACTTACAGAGAAATGAAGAAAAAAAAGACACTTACATATGGACCTAACATTCCTGGATTCAGTATGCTCTAACAACAACAGACTTTTCCCAAGACACTTTCCTAAGACACTTTTAATCTACTATATTATTTTCTTGGCATCATGAAAAAATCAGGGATCAATGTCCATACGTACTTACTAACTTGATCAGAGATTTAGGAATATGCAAAGGCTGCAAATAATTCATGTGATGGTATGGGAATGCGAGGATGATACATGCATGGAACTTGAGATGCTGCAGAATGCAGCTTTGACTGGGTATTTAAGAAAACAGGAGATCAGCATTGGCCTAAAAACAAACATAAATAATGGCACTCTCTGTGGGACACTAGGTTTCATAATTAAACTTGTAGGGTACATATTAATGAATTCAATGAAATATTTCATTTCAACATAAATGGTTACATAGCAAATTTAGTCAAACCCAAATTTATAGGCTTATAAAACAAACTGTCCAATCAATCAATAGCTCCAAAATAGTCCTTCAATTTTCAGCCATCTTATTTGAGAATGAGTACTGTAACTGCTGCTTCTAAGTCCATCTGAACACAGACCTGAGGGTATCAAATTCACGTCTTTGCTCAGTATGTTAACTACAGCTAGACCAGTGGACCACAGTGTCTTCATCTCTGCTTCCTCGAGACAGAAGAGAATACAGTAACTGTTAACTTCCAATTACTGCTTGTTCCTTCTTTAGTACAGAGGGCAAAATGAAAACATCTTTTAAATACGATAACTTTAATTTTGCACTTATGTTTTGATTAGGCTCTATCTAGCAAAATTAATTTTAACTGAGCTAATACATAATGAAATAATCAATGAGTGGTCACCACACCAGGCACTAAGCCACGTCCTGTGCTTCGTCTCATGTTGGCCTCCTAACACTGTAATGTCAGCCCATCTGTTGCTGAGGAAGCTGAGGCTCGGGAGATGTTCAGGAGCTTGAAACAGGCAGATGCCCAATTGAAATCAAGGTCCGCCAGACCCAGGTCTCCACACGTTCTCTGCTTCCATGCTGCCACACCTCTCCAACTGAGACTGTTACTACAAATTACAGGGCAGCAGGAGGCTAGACCTTGACAGGAAGGTTCAAAGTATTATAAAAACTAATTATAACAGTGGGGTAGAATAGGAGGAAAAAATAAGAGCAGCATCCATTTTAGTTTGACTTGTTAAGTTTTTGATATCCTTTAAATATCTTAAAGTGCAAAGGGCATAAGCCTGTAAGACAAGTAATATTGGTATACTAATTTTGCATAAAATTCCCGTAATCTAAAATTTCAATATGTCAATTGTGTCATGGAAGAGAATGTATAAATCAAAAAACTGCTCAATATATAGAAGTGAATAGGAAGCCATACTTACAATAGCCTTGAGCAGAAACCATGCCAAGAGACAGAGAAGACATATTAGTATGAAGCAAACACAGCAGCCAACAGAAGGAACCATTTAGTAATTCATGAACAGAAGTAAAAGATATGCATTTTTTTTTTCAAAAATGTACATTTTTCTTTCTTCTATGGTCTCCTCATCCTGTCTCGTTCTCTGGAGTTTTATACACTGTGGCTAGCTCAAATTATCCATATGCCTGGATATAACAATGATTTTCTGCTTCCATGCTAAAAATAAATGACATAAAAATAATAATAAAAATGTGCAAACCACCCTACTCTGACTTAAGGTCATATGAAAGGACTGTGCTTTTTGATAACAGAAATAGGCAGAATTTATGCTGTTCTTCGGTGGGGATGGATTCCATTTGGCATATTGTTCTATGTATTACACATTCCTGAGATGCAACACTAGGTTAGTGAAAGAATGAAGACAAAAGCATCAAAAATTCCCTAGGGCAAAGAGCCACATGTCCTGTACCATACTATTTATTTCCCCAAATGATTTTGAGGTGTTATCAGAAAAAGGAATGTTTCTATTTGAATCTTTTCTATTTATAGAAAAGAGCTCTGATAGAATTTCCAAGAATTTAGAGCAGGACATCTCATTATCATCTAGGCAGTCAATAAATTGACTAATTTATGCAAATAGTACTTTTAGGGCTTATATCTCACTTCTAAAATATGTTCTCTTAAAGTAATGACACACAGCCTATTTAATCAGATTTGATTACCACAGTGACAATCAGGCTATGCAAAATTACTTTTAACATAATAAATTCCTTTCTGTATGTTTTAACGTAAGTAAGCAAATCCAGGACAATGGTTTTTGCTCTAACAACAAGGCTGAACTGACACTGATACTCTGACATCCTTTACTTCCTGTGTACTACATGTTCTCCCCCTACCATAATAAATCACCAAAACTCTCCTCAGAGACTTACAGAACAAAGCAAAGTTCCCATTTATATCTGTGTAAGGGACCTAGTGATTTCACTCACCTCAGAAATGTTACCACCTAGCAGTAGCTAGGCTTACTTGTATTTTAATACACTATTGGTTTTGCTTCACCTCTTTGTAATTTAGCAGTCTGGAGAAAGGCATTTTAAATAGTAAACCAAGATATTTCAAACAAGTTTCATTCTAGTAAGGGAATAATGTAATTTAAGTGCTGATGACAATTTTAGGAACTGGGAATCTAAGGAAGGGCTAGCAACATATTAATTACAGGCTAAACTAAAACCATCATCTTATAAAAGCATATTGCCTTGATAAACTTGACATATATTTAAGAAACTCATAAAATTAGGTCATTGATGGATGAACTTCTTACATCTCATATTCTCAGGTTTTAAGTAATACACTGGTTTAACATCCCTTTTTTGATTCCCTTTGTCTTTTACACCCTCTTATGTCTGTAAGCTGGATGGGCATGGATATGTCTATAGTTTTGACACTGGTCCCGCCAAATGTCTCTATCAATGGGAACAACCGAGTAGGTTTACACTCAAAGGCCAGAGTTTATAGCAAGTCACACTGGCAACAGAAAAAAACCCACCTGGCTGGAGCAAAGAGTGGTCACTAAAATTTAGCATTTTCTCCTCTATACAGTGTTGAGTATTTTATAGTTGCTGCTATACTGTATACTGCTCACATGTAAGAAATTTGCAAAATCTGATTTATTTAGACTTTCACTGGAGATTGGCTACTATGTGCTATATAAGCCCTGCAAGAGATGGGGAGCAAGAGCTGACCTGCTCAGCGCACTCTACCCCATCCAGCAGGTAGGGCTGTGACAGATGCCATGAGCCACGGGAATGCAAAAAGGTCAGTGGACTGTTTTTTGCATGTGTGCGGGATTCAGAAATCTAGAGATGGCGGGATTCTAGGGATGGCATTACTTTCCTAAATATCAATTAGACTAAAAAATTTCTCCTTCCAATTACTACCAGCATTGTTTTGTTGTTAGCCTGAGTGAAAACCCTACACTCTGAATACTGAGCTAAGCACATTTAAAACACAAAACCTCAGTTAATTTCTCAGCTGATAAACTACAAATGACTACTTCCAAGCAGTGTGAATCTGAGAAACACAATGAAGTTCTGTCTGGTCTTTTTTTATAAGGAATGTTGGTAAAAGAAAAACACTGCTTCTACTATAACCAATATAATTATAAGTTTTTTGGCTAGAGACCATAAAATAAGAGTTACAAGTTTTTTTAGCATTGTGAAACTGGTGGATCATGGTTAGTACATATTAAAACTTACATCTTCTGCTTTCGAGCCTTGATCCTGTAAAGATTTTTGCAATTCTTCAACTTGTGACTGTACTTCCAGAAGTCTCTGATTCACCAGCCTAAAAATCAAATGTACGTTAATTTTCCAAGTTGTGACTTATTGTGCTTTTTTCCTAGGTTGTTGTTTTGGTTAGAGAGACAGTATAATTAGCAAAACTAAGCCTCAGGTTAGAGTAATAGGAGCTCACTTTTCTGATTACTTTTTGCATCGCTTGAAATTTCTATGATGATTTCCAACACAGTATTTTAGTGGCCACATTTTGTCAAACTAGTGTACTTAGTCATATCTAAATTATCTGAATTTACCTCAGTATATTTTTTAATTCAAACTATGTGTCCGCCAATATGCTCAGCATGAGTATTAAAATATCCTTGCACACGAGGAATTTAGTGGGGAGGCAAATGTTACAGTAAAATAAGAGGTAAGTGCTTCAGCACAGCCCACAGAGGCGTGCAGGAGGAACGAGGATCACTCGAGCAGCAGGGACTGCACATCACCGTGTGAGGGAGCTGCGACCGGCCTGACTTCAAGGGAGACTAGAACCGTGAACAGAACACTCATGTGAAGGGTGAAAAGGGGATTCGAGAAAGAATTCAGCACGTCCAAGGCCCAGGGAAATGAGTGGGTTTGCTGAGCTGAAGAACGACGCGGCTGAGTGATAAGTTCTGAGGGAAGGATGGCTAGAGGGGAGCCGGAAGAGAAGAGCAGAGGCTGGGTGCGGTCCAGGGCAAAGCGCCCAAGGAGCTAGAATCACCCTACAGTGGAGCTGAACCAGAACAACCTGGCCAGGCTTTAATAAGACTGATCCTGCAGCCGACCTTCATCAATTCTGAAGGTCATTATGGTGCAGCTTTCAGTAGACCATTTGATTCCCTAGGTCTTGGGTGATGTTGAAGGATTGCAAGAAGGGAGACACATGGCGAGACAGTACTTGAAGAAGATTACATTGGTTTGAGGGTGGAGGATGTTCCCAAAAAGGTCCAGGTGCAGGCATGGAGAACAGAAGGCTGCTAAAATTATTACTAAATATGCCTGAAATTGAAGGGAAGAGGGGTAAATAACACAAGGAAAAAAAATAACACTTAGGATTTGGGTCTGAGCTACTGAGAAACATTTACTGAGAAAGGGACTACTGGAGCAACAGGTCAGGCAAGGAATATGAAGAACCTCATTTTGTGTTTGCTAAAAATGACATTTTGTGTTTGCCTAGAGATGTGGGTCGAACAGCCAGACACCTGTATCTGTAGCACACAGAGTCTGGCTGAACACTACACAGATGTGGAGCCACCTGGAGTCCACTGAAGCCAAGGTATCAGTAACACGGACTAGAAGGTAAAAAGGGGGGAAAGGAGGAACAAGAATGGTCCCTGGTAGATCAACAAAGGATGGTAAAGGGGAACTCACCGTGAAGACAACTAGGCAAAGCACAGGAGAGGTGTGCTATTAAAGGGAAAAACCAGTTTGAGGAAAGGGGAAATGGTCAGTAATAAGGAACACAGTACTCTTTCATCTTGCAAGATGGTGCGTGGAAAAGCTGAGAAGCTGGTTATCAAGGAGAAGCAGCCTGAAGCCAGGAAGGCCGATGCTGGCAGCAAGGTTAACAAGGGTGACCTCAAGGTCAAAACGCCAAAGAAGGGAAGCCCCACTGTAGCAGAAACCCTGTCCTAGTCAGAGGAATTGGCAGGTACTCCCGACTGGCTACATACTCCAGAAAGGCCACATACAAGAGGGAATATTCAGCAGCTAAATCCAGGATTGAAAAGAAAAGAAGGTTCTTGCTACTGTCACAAAACCAGTTGGTGGTGATAAGAATGGTGGTACCCGAGTGTTAAACTTCGCAAAATGCCTACGTATTATCCCACGCAAGGTGCGCCTCGGAAGCTGTTGAGCCACGGCAAAAACCCTTCAGTCAGCATGTGTGACAACTGCAGGCCAGCACCACTCCCAGGACCACTCTGGTCACCTTACTGGGCCCATAGAGGCAAGAGCGTCGTTTTCCTGAAGCAGCTGAGAACTGGCTTCTACTTGGGACGGGGCCTCCAGTCCCCAATTGCGTGCCTCTACGTAGAGCACATCAGAAACATCCTCGCCACCTCCATCAAAGTTAATCTTGTGTGAAATCCCCACACACCTGGCTGACGCTTACTTCAAGCAGCAGCAGCCGCGTATGCCCAGGCACTAGGAAGGCAAGATCTTGGGAAATACGGGCTTACAAAATAGCGCAAGGTTGGTCAGAAGGCTGTGGACTCACAAATTCTGCCAAAAATCAAAGCTGTTCCCCAGCTCCAGGGCAACCTCTGTGTTTGCTCTCATAAATGGAATTTATCCTCACAAATTGATGTTCTAAATGTCTTACGAATAAACTAATTAAATAACTGATCCATTAAAAAAAAAAAGAATATAATAGAGAGATGCTTCCACTGGATCGGCCATTTAAGAGATGACTGGTTATTTTAGTAAGAAATGCTTCGGCGAAACAGTGGTAGAAGTCACTCTGCCCTGAATTAAGGACAAACAAGACAGTGAGTATTTAGAATCCAAACAGCCAGAAAGTTCAATAAGCAAGTTTTTTTACTCAACAAATTTCAGGAAATTCTTATAAATCTTCCAGGTTCTATAATACAGCAAAAGCATAGTAAGAACCCAATCAAATCTGTAGCAATAGCTCATGTTTTTCACATCAAGGAATAGAAAATCTGAGTGCTTTTTGACAAGTGAAAGAATTAACTGAAAATCAGTATTCAATATGGGGAGAGAGGTATATCAATACATTACTAGTGATGCTATAACTTTGTTCCATCTTTTCAGAAAGCAATCTGAGATAAATAAGATATTTATATACCTTATATACCTCATGGGTTTATTTAGAGGACTGAGATAACACACAGAGAATGTCTAGCATAGTACTTGCACACAGCAGGCACTCTATAATGTTAACTGCCTCTACCTCCTCTCTCCTCCATCGGGTGTTCAGTTAGTTAACACTCTAATTACAACTAACTGTCAAGGGGGCCTACAGAGAGGGTGAGCATGAGACCACGATATACACTGAGAGGGAAGGAAATGAGGTCATCTGCACTTTGAGACAATTCTCTGAGCAAGTGTCAGCAGGCATCAGATAAAAAAGATAAATAAGACCACATACTGAAAACACTTGGCACAATGTTCGGAACACAATGTTGGGGACAAACAGGAGCATAATAAATGTTAGCTGCTGTTATTATTGTTATAGGTCATACATAGATGGCTATAATCTATAGAGGGAAGTTGTCATCAGTATTGCAATTTAAGAAACAAACACAATAGTAAAGTTGTAAATAGCTGTAAATATCAGGGACTTGGGAGACAATTAGTTATCTACACAGTGGAGTTCTGTATAAATGACAAGTAGCTATTCTCTTGCTAAGGGGCAGAGGCCAGTAACTGAAGCCTGTGAGAAACAGTGTCAAACACTGGAAAGGAAGTGGTGGGTGCTGATTCACTGGAAAGAAATTAGAGTCAGGAGACGGCTTTCCTAACTAAGATGGCTAAAATACAGCCCAAGGCAAGGGATGCAGGAGAACACAAGATACTCTCACCCTGGGCCCACATGAATGCCAGCTGTGCTCTACAGTTCTTCTTCCTCCCCTTCTCATTTTCCACTTTTTTGAAGTATTTAAAAAAGTATCCATTATCTATGCTACTAAGAATTGATATGAAAATTTTATCTTCTGTTTATGCTTAATTATGCTCTAATAATCACCCTGGTATTTATACTGTTCGCCAATTCTACTTTAGCAGCTTTAAAAATTAAAGCTACAGGTAGAAGGGTAGGATACGTAAAATTGTCCTAACAATTCTGTCTCACAAAACTGACTCATACCTGGGAAATGACAAATCAATCGGGTATGATAAACAAAGAATCTGTACTATCAGGCAAACTATGAACCTATTAATAAAATGTGAAATCCCTAAAAAATGACAGAATATCATAGCACTTAAGAAAAGAAACTATGTTTGGCATCTAAGAAACATTTCCAAAAAGAAAAAAAATCCAAAGACTGTCACAACAAAATATAAAAGTAACTCTTACCAGAGTAAGCTACTATTACTTTTAAAGTAGCTTTGAATGACTGCAGAAAGCAATACACTGAAAACTTATAAGCAGAAAGTTATTTTCTTGTTAAATTTGTAGATTCTAAATTCTTAAAATAATCAAATTGCTCATAAGATGAATGATTTCCTTTTAGGGCCACAAGAAATAAGATTTTTAAGAAAAGCTCTGTTACTTATGATGGATCCTATTGTTGTTCTAATACCAACTGATCCTCTGAAACATAAGCTTGTAAAAGCTGGGTAAACTGTTTTAGTCTGATAAGGACTATGAATTGAAATTGTTGTGCAAGACTGAATTAACGGTCAGATTTTTTAATTTTAGAATTAGAAAAGGAAAATGGTAGGGCTTTGATATCATTTTGCTTTAAGCACTAAAGAGTGGAATACTATTATAAAAGACACTTTTTCTCAAGTCTGTCCACAAGTACTTTTAAAATGAAATGGAATAACACATCACGTTTCAAAATACAATTCAAACCTTTGTTTAAGGGAATCAAAATCAAGGCAAATGAGAAAAACCTGTCTCATGGGGCCACCTGGATACATTCCTACCTATTCTCTGTTTCCAGTTCATTCTTGCGTAGATTTGCATCATCTAGAAGACTCTGCAACAAGGCAATTTTTTCATTGTCTGAACCCTCTTGGTTAAGTTTTAACATCTTATTCTCATGCTGAAGACGGATAAGTTTCTCCCTGAATGGCAAAAGAAAAACTGATTATCTGGTATACTACTGCAATATAGTTATCAAAATCCAACTATTCACACAGTTACAGATTTAATACACAGAACAGAAATGAAAAACAAAGAAGTATCTGCAACAATTAAGCTCTTATTGTAACTGTCTAAGATGTTACGTTTCAGGTCTTAAATACTTCTTTTTACCATGGATAAGCTGAAGATAATAGAACCTCCAAGTATTATAATTTGTAACAAATGAGGTTTCAAAATCCTATTTCCTTTCTTATTGAAGTATTTAAGCTATGAATGCATTTATATATTTGTTCTTTGGTTCTCATAAAAAAACATGATCACTTAATAAACAAAGCAAAAAAACACGACCTCCAATGATATGCTTTTAAATTACCAATCACTTGGTGGCAAGGTATAATATTCAAAGCAGAATGCCTTCAAGATATGCAGTCCATCCATTCTTAGATATATAAAATTGTACTCTTCTTAACAAACCAGATTATCAGAGCCAAATTTCTGGACTACACTGCTCGGACCCTTTGTGCTATCCCAAAAGCTCACAATGAGGGTTGTTAAGGGCAACAGTCACATAAAGCTTGCCACTGTATTTACTGCAGGGATGACACAGTTGAATATTAATTCATATGGCGATATAATGGAAGATACACTTGTTGAACATAAAACTTCTTTATTTTACATCAGGTCATCTTTAGAGGGCCTGTGAAGAAAGACCAGATACTACAAAACATGGTGCTTCTCATGAAAACAGAAAAAATAAAAAAACACACACAAAACATCTGCTCTTATTTTGTAAAAACCACACATCTTATAAAGTACACTTACTTTTGCTACTGAAAAGACGAACCAAACCTGTGACCCAACTCAATCAATTGTATAGACCTTGATATATTTTGTACTTGGACAAAAACTTCAGCATATTTTCAATTACAAAGTAAAACATGCTCGATGTAGGGGGAAAAAGATAAATGAGAAGAACATACAAAGCATCCATAATCCTATGGTGCTGAATAATTATCGCTGAAATACAAGCCGCCTCAAGCAGTGACTCTGGCTTCTTACTATACTGACGGGCAGTGACTGCAGTGGGGTGTTGGGGGGACTTGATAATATGGGTGAATGTAGTAACCACATTGTTTTTTCATGAGAAACCTTCATAAGAGTATATCAATAATACCTTAATAAAAATAAAATAATAAAATAAAAAAGAAATACAGCCTTCTAACTGTATGGATATGTGCACACAGGCAAACACTTTAAAAAATGGATCTCATAGTACATGCTACACTGTATCTGCTATTTATACTTAAATTTTCACAATCTTTTTATACCTTTAAATACTATAATATTTTAAATGACATGTTAAAATACATAGATGAATCATTATTTAATGAATGCCAAATTATTTGGGATTGATTGCTACCAATTTTGAGCTTTTACATGTTAATAATGATCAGCTTTATATATACACACCTTTGTACATATCCTTGGTTATTTCCTTAGGATTAATTCCCAGAAGTGTAATTTTTCAGTCAAAAGAGTGCTTTTTAAAAAGACAAACTCCTTTTATCTGTCTTAAATAAGGCCAACAATGATAAATTAAAATTGTTTTCATTTATTCACAAGTATTTGAATGCATACTGTAACCTCACAGGTATAAAACTCTTGCACAGCTATTATTTTATTTAATAACCCCAACAATGTTATGAAGAATCAAGGCCTGTGTCAATTTTAAGTGGAATCAAACAGGTTCAAAGAAGGTAAAAGTAATATTCAGGACCATCTCCCTGCTGCACACTTGGTGCTTCACTACCATTTTTTTGCTTTTATACATAAAGCCAGGTATATATTAAAACAAATGGAATTTTTTAAATGTAATGACTAAATAAAAATGTGTGGTACCACGGAGGGAAGAGTAGTAGAGATGGAGAAATGCTTCTTCTGTCTACTACATCAAATCTTTCCTGGACCTTTCCACGCAGTCCATAGATAAATCTAAGTGATTAATTATTTTGCAGGCTGATGTCTAGGTATAACTTGTCTTTGGCCAAGTGGGTTCATTGCAAATGTTTGCCAAGGATACCTAAGCACAGTTAAATTAGTCTGCTGTGTACATGTAAAACTTTCATTTTCCTATCCAAGTGAGAAAATCAAGTCTCTTGGGCCCGCTGAAGGAAGTTTCCACATGCTGAAAACATGGACATTATATATTGAATTTACATTGACAGTGTTAGTAATGAAGGATTAGGAACCAATCCTCTTTGTATTTTTTTCCAGGAATATAGTAGAGGGTGACCGAACTCCATGATCTCCTTACCTGATTTCTGGTGTAACAATCTCTGCTGCGAGACTATCTGAAGACTCCTGACTTCCTAGAGGCATTAACCCTATAAAATATAAACATGAAGGCCAGGTTAAGAGAGAGCAGGACTATCTTATTTAGTTTCTATATGAAACCCTAATTTGAGCATTAACTTTAAGAGCTAAAATCTTTGTTTTAGTCAAGAATAGACCATGTCACAGTTGCCTGGCATTATTATAATATCATTTTAACAATTTATAAATGTACAAATGAGAGTAAGGACATCCACTATATTGTGGAACCATCATACTATTTCCAAAACTCATCACCTAAAACGTAAATTCTGTAGCCTTTAAGCTATAACTCCCCATTCCTTTCTCCCCAGCCCCTCATAACCTTTGTTCTACCTTTTGTCTGTTTCACAAATTTCCCCACTCTAGAGACCTTATATAAATGGACACAAAGTATTATTTGTCCTTTTGTGTCTGGATTACTTCACTTAACATAATGTTTTGAAAATCCATCCATGCTGTAGCATTTATTAGAACGCCACTCCTTTTCATCGCCAAATAGTATTCCACCATATGTATACACCACATTCCCTTCATTCATTCATCTGTCAATGGACTTGGGTTATTTCCATTTTTTGGCTATTGTGAACAATGCTGCTATGAATGCTGGTATACCAGTATCTGGTTGAGTCCTTTTTTTCAGTTATTTAGGGTATGTACATAGGATTGGAACTACTAGATCACATGGTAATTTTATGTTTAACTTTTTGAAGAATCACCGAACTCTTCCACAGTGGCTTTGTTTTACAGCCCAACCAGCAATGCATGAAGGTTCCAGTTTTCCCACATCCTTGTCAGCACTTGCTAGTTTCCTTTTTTTGGTTGGTAGCCATCCTAACAAGTGTGAACTGGCATCTCACTGTTGCTTTGATTTGCAGTTCTCTAATGACTAATGGCATCAAACGTCTTTGATGTGCTTACTGGCCATTGGTATATCTTCTTCACAGAAATGCTAGTCAAGTTCTTTCCCCATTTGTTATTGCTGAGTTGTAGAAAAGAACTTTGATATTCTATATTACATATAGCTATATTCTGGATATAAATCACTTTTCATGTATATGATTTGCAAATATGTTGTTCTCATTTTTTTGTCCCCTTTTCACTCTGTTGACAATGTCCTCTGATGCACAAAAGCTTTTAATTTTGATGAAGTCCAATTTATCTATTTTTCCTTTTGTTGCCTGTGTTTTTTATATCAATTCCAAGGAATCACTGCCAAATCCAGCACCATGATGATTTTCCTGTTTTTTTTTTTTAAGTTTTATAGTTTTAGCACTTTCATTTAGGTCTTTTGACCCATTTTGAGTTCATTTTTGTATATGGTGTATGGTAACTTCACACTTTTGGATGTGGTATCTAGTTTTCCCAGCACAATTTACTGAAAAGACTTTCCTTTCTCCCACTGAATGGTCTTAACACTCTTGTTGAAAATCATCTGACCATGTGTAATGGTGTATTTCTGGGCCTTCTGTTCTTTTCTATTGGTCTATGTCATCTTTATGCCTATAATGCACTGTTTTGGTGACTAACCTTATCCTAAGCTTTGATATCAGGAAGTGTGAGTCATCCACACTTTTTGTCTTCTTTTTTCAAGATTATTATGGTCATTTACGGTCTGGTGCAATTCCATGTGAGTTTTAAAATGAGTTATTCTATTTCTGAGAAGAATGCCTTTGGTATTTTCATAAAGATGCACATGATCTGTAGAATCCTTTTGGTAGTACTGTCATCTTAACAATATTATGTCTTGAATGAACACGGGATATCTTTCCCTTTAGGTTCCTTCAATTTCCTTAGCAGTATTTTGCAGTTTTCAGGTACAAGTCTTCTGCCTCCGTGGTTCAATTTATTCCCAAGTACTTTATGCTTTTTGATCTTCTTGTAAATAGAACTGTTTTCCTAATTTCCTTGCTGGATTACTCACTGTTAATGTATAGAAATGTAACTGATTTTTGCAGGTTGCTTTTCATCCTACAACTTTGTTGAACTTATTAGCTGTAAGAGTTTTTTCTGTGTGGATTATTTTTAGGGTTTTTGACAAAAAGATCAAGTCATCTGCAAACAGATAGTTTTAGTTCTTCCTTTACAGTTTTGATTTGTTTTTGTTTTAGTCTGATTACTTTGGTAAGAACTTCCTATTCTGTGGGAATAGAAGTGCTAATAGGAGGTATCACTGTCTTATTCCTGATCTTAGAGGAAAAGCTTTCAGCCTTTCACCACTAGTACGATGTTAACTGTGAGTTTTTCGTATATGGCCTTTATCATGTTGCAGAAATTCCCTTTTTAGTTCTCATTCTAGTTTATTGAGGCTTTTATGTTAGGGGGCTGGATTTTGTAAAATGCCATTTATACATCAATTGGCATGATAATGAGGTTTCTTCCCTTCTTATATTCATGTGGTATAGCACATTGATATCTATGTCTCTCCTGAAGTGAGTTTCATACTGCTCAATTACAGTAACTTTATATAAAGTAAGTATTGAAACCAGTCAGTATTTGTACGTTCTCCAACCTTTCCTATTTCAAGATTTTTTTGGGTAATATTTGCTCCTTTGTATATTCATAGGATCAACTTGTCAGCTTCTATAAAAATGTCTAGGAGGAGGAGCCATGATGGCGGCATGAGTAGAGCAGCGGAAATATCCTCCCAAAACCATATATATTTTTAAGAATACAACAAATACAACTATCCCTAAAAGAGAGATCAGAAGATACAGCACAACATCCAGGATACATCCACATCTGAGAAAACCCAGCCCTCAAAAGGGGGTAAGATAGAAGGCACAGCCCAGCGGGTCCCGAGCGCCCCTCACCCCAGCTCCCAGCAGGAGGAGAGGAGTCGGAGCCGGGAGGGAGAGGGAGCCTAGGACTGCTAAACACCCAGCCCTAGCACTGGGAGCTCAGACACACAGTGTGTGGGGTGCTGGATACTAGGGAAACGAGACAGTATAACCTGTGAGCAGGTCCCTGCAGCCAGCACCCCTGGGAAAAAGAAAAGTGAGTGCTTTTTGAAAGTCTTAAAGGAACAGGGACCCCACAGATGGACAAAAGGGTCTCGGCACACTCAGTCGAGCAGCTGGGAATCCCGGGGAACTCCAAATGCCCTATCCCCCTGGGCGGCAGCGCAGCTCGAAGGCACCTCATGGCAATAAACAGCCAACTGCCCATTTCACCTCCACTGTGGCTCCGCCATAGCGGAGCGGCACCCTGAGGCCAGCCATGCCCACAGCAGCAGGGCAGAGCTTCTTTAACAGTGGCCAGGCAAGAATTAGGAACCCCAACAGCGTGTAGCTGCCCAGCACAAGCCGATAGGGGTCGCCGTTCTCCCAGGAGAAGAAGGCCACAAACCAGCAAGAAGGGACGTTCTCCCAGCCGACACACGTGCCACCTCTGCACAGCTACCTCTATTGCCATGAAAAGGCAGAAGAATTTGATACAGACCAGACCAACCCAGACATCCTACCCAGAGAAGGAATCTGGGGAGATAGACCTAACCAATCTCCCTGAAAAAGAATTCAAAATAAAGGTCATAAACACACAGACAGATCTTCAGACAAATATGAAAGAGCTAAGGGATGAAGATCGGAGGTAGATTACAGAAATAAAACAATCTCTGGAAGGACTAAAGAGCAGACTGGATGAGGAGCAAGAGGCCATTAATGGAATAGAAATCAGAGAACAGGAACGAAGAGAAGC